CTCAGAGAGTGCCAAGGACCCCACAGTCCTCCTCCACCTCCTCCTCCTGCACTCCACATGCCACTCTTCCTTCTAGCACTGATGCTGTTACCTAGTTGGTTAATGAAACATCTGCAAGAAAACCACTAAGCTCAGAGAGTGCCAAGGACCCCACAGTCCTCCTCCACCTCCTCCTCCTGCACTCCACATGCCACTCTTCCTTCTAGCACTGATGCTGTTACCTAGTTGGTTAATGAAACATCTGCAAGAAAGCCACTAAGCTCAGAGAGTGCCAAGGACCCCACAGTCCTCCTCCACCACCTCCTCCTGCACTCCACATGCCACTCTTCCTTCTAGCACTGATGCTGTTACCTAGTTGGTTAATGAAACATCTGCAAGAAAACCACTAAGCTCAGAGAGTGCCAAGGACCCCACAGTCCTCCTCCTCCTCCTCCACCTCCTCCTCCTGCACTCCACATGCCACTCTTCCTTCTAGCACTGATGCTGTTACCTAGTTGGGTCGTGAAACATCTGCAAGAAAACAGCTCAGAGACCACCAAGGACCCCTCATCCCAATGCTGAGCTACAAAGATTCTCCTTTATTAGCCTTCATCAAAACCAGACAACAAAATTCCGACTTGTTTTGGCTCAGAATCGGCCGTTCCAAGTTTCTAACTACGAGGACATTTGGTGGGAGTTCGGGAGATGCAAATTTTTGCTGTTCCTCGAGACACGAGAAAGCTCCTTTTCTTATTCTCTCCTTGTTCGGGCTCCCCCAGATCCAACAGAGGCTGACTTGTTCAGGGTTCGGCTCAGTCCTTCCTCGCCTCTGCCCACCCCACCCATGCTGGCCAGCCCTGACATTACAACCCCTTGTTCTTCACTTGTGGCTCTTTATGATGTCAGGTTGTGTGTGTGGGCGACAGCAAGTTGACCTTCTCTTGTGCTTTTTGTGTTGTGGGTTCCCTCCGCCTTCCTTCCCGATGAAAACTCCGGCCTTGTTTAGCTACCCATGGTGGGTAAAATCGAAGCTTATTTTCTCCGGAGCCCCCTGGTGCCCTCAACAAGTTGTGGTGGTTTTATGCAAAAGGATACACCTTGTTGTTCACCTAAAGGCCCAAGAAGGTCAAACTTGACATGGTTGGTTTCTCAGGAAGTGGAGAAACCGGCTTCCTGGAGGAAGCATCTTCTGCTCAAGGTCTCCTCAATGCAGGGATGTCCAATCTTGGCCACTTGAAGACATGTGGACTTCAACTCCCAGTGTCAGGGTTCCGAATCGCATCCAAAAGTAAATCAGAGTCCAAGGCAATGGATTCCTCAAAGTTCCAATTTATGAATAGCAATATAGCAATAGCAGTAGACTTATATACCGCTTCATAGGGCTTTCAGCCCTCTCTAAGCGGTTTACAGAGNTGGTTCGGCCGCACTGGTAGTGGTTTGGCGGCCTGGGTCACTGGAACCGGCGGCGACCCAGGCCTGCCACGCCCCCAAACCGGTTCTCCTACGGCGGCGCCATCTTGATTTTCGGTTCTGCGCATGCAGAAGTTTCATTGCACAAATTTAGTTTTCCACCCGTTTGTTAACGTTTTGCGCATGTGCAGACCTACGTATGTGCAAATGCACGTGCGAAGCCCCCCCCCCCGGGTCCTAAATGTGAAAAATGGTCATAAGTCCCTTTTTTTCCAATGCCATTGTAACTTTGAACAGTCGCTAAATAAACTTGTTGTAAGTTGCGGACTAACTGTGCTAAAGTGTTAGCTTTGAGTAGTATTCAGTGCAGTGAAGCCCACGTCTCTCTTGGCCTGAGGAGACAAGGCATAAGGACAACTGACTGGGGTGTCTTCGTCGCCAGGAGAAGTTAGACATTGGCCCAACGCAGGGGTGTCAAACTCGATTTCTTTGTGGGCCGGATCAGCAATCTAGTTGACCTCTGTGAGTTAGTGGCGGTTGGGGAGGACTCGGGCCCATGCGTGTGCAGGACTCAACAGGTGCATGTGTGCGCAGGACTCGCCCCCACCATCCCAGCCACCTCCTGTGTGCATGTATGCCTGCACGGGATGGCGTGGGCCTGACTTGTGCATTCATGCGCCTGCCTCCTGTGCATGCGCGCTTGCTTGGATTGATTGAGCCTGGCCGAAGCGACGCGAGCCGACCCCTGGACGTTTCCAGGACAGCCACGCGGGCTGGATCCGACCACATTGTGGGCCGGATCCAGCACACGGGCCTTGAGTTTGAGACCCCTGGCCCAACATGTCTTCGTGTCTCTGAGGAACCCCTTTCTTCTCTTCTGCAGAGTTCCTGGGGACATCGATGAAGTCAACGCTCTCAAGCTTCAGGTGGATCAGTGGAAAATCCCCACTGGCTTAGAAGACCCCCACGTTCCTGGTGAGGGTGACAGCTGTGGAAGGACATCTCTGCCGCAGTGGTGGGTTCTGGCCGGTACGGCCCGGTACAGTTGTACCGGTAATAGCCGGGAGCAGCTGACAGCGTACTGGTACGGTGGCTCGTTTGGTCCGCCCGCCCGCGTTCTATACCGGTTTTTAAAGCAACCGGCCAATTGCGCACGCGCGCACGTCGTGCAGTGCCCTTGTGAGCTCCGACAAGCAGCTGGGTGTCGCAGGGGTGATGGAGTGCGCACAAAAGGACGCAGGGCCCCATGAGCACCGTACCAGTAGCAACAAGGAGAGGACCCACCACTGCTCTGCAGCACAGCCTGGTTTTTCTCCTTCAACTGCATCTGCTCCTCCTTTGTGGCCTCCATCCTGGACAGGGGTGGAGAAGACATTTTTTGGTGTTTTGTCTCGCGTGAATAAGGAGAACATTCTCCCCCCCCCCGCCGCTTTTTGGCTTATACGACGCTGGTCGTTACCTATAAAGCCCTTCATGGCATCGGACCTGGGTACCTGAGAGACCGCCTCCTGCCGATCACCTCCCATAGNGTGCAGAGACAAAGGATGACCTTGGCTTTCTAGAAAGAATGTTGTTATGGCTACATAGCATCTAACTCCATTTTCCCACCATAGAAAATGCATAGTAGGATAATAGAAAGTGTGGCAGGCTAAAGACCCAAAAGTAAAGAAGGCTTCAGGCCTGACACCCAGAATTCTGGGAGCTGAAATCCACAAGTCTTAAAGTGGCCAAGATTGGAGAAACCTAACGTTGTTTCTAGGGTGGAAATCTGTCCGTAACTCGCTTCAAATGACCTCCCTGAAGCTGGAAAAGTAATGACTCCTTCTCCAGCAACCTTTGATTATTTCCCTGGGCTGCCCCGTCGAAGCCTTTAATTAAATGACCAGGTTCCTGGAGTGACCGGTCATTAAATCAGAATGGAGGCACCCCCAAAATTGACTGGTTCTGGGTAGGTTTCTTTGCAGGTGGCCCAGGGAGTCCTTGACCAAAATCAAGTGGCGATGGGTGGGTTCACACCAGACTGATTAATACGACCCATGATGGGCGATTCATAGGACATGCAGTGGCCCAAGAAAGACGGATGCTTTTGGACTTTGCCTGCCTTATTGGTTCAAGGCCCTGAGCTCCCACTTTCGAGTCGAAGACCTCCAAATTATTAAGATGCTGGCTTGATTCCCGCAGCATCCTGAGCCACTGTGGACCCAACTCCATTTTAAGCTAACTAATCAAGGAGAGAACCAACTTTGAATGAAGGAGAAACTTCCTGACAGTGAGAACAATGAATCAGTGGGACGGAAGTTGCCTTCAGAAGTTGTGGGTGCTTCATCACTGGAGGTTTTTAAGAAGAGATTGGACAGGCATTTGTCTGGAATGGTATAGGGTCTTCTGCTTGAGCGGGGTTGGGGGTGGGGGGTTGGACTAGAAGACCTCCAAGGTCCATTCCAACACTGTTATTTTGTATTCTGCATATCGACCACTTTATAGATCGAAACATGATAAAATCAGTAGTTATCCAACAGCTGTCTTGACATCACAAGAAGGTTACGAGACTGACAACAAATGCATTAGTTACAGGAAGTGCTAGTCTAGTTGACCAATTGTGGCTTTTGTGTTTTAAGATGACAGGGACTGGAGTCCATCACATCAGGAAAAACTACACACATCCTTTCCCACGCTGCTACTCCTAGGAGAAGAGATAGCTTAGTTGGTAGACTCAGGACTTCAACAATTTCCAAACTATTTATCCAACTTTCACCGCTATTATTTCTTTCTGTTCTTAGTTGTTCTCACTGGCTTTGAGTGAGAACTCAACGGTGGAAGGATTTCATTACACATGGACCATTGTTGTTATCATCTCCATTCATTCCCAAAAGTGGTTTTCTTTCAGGAGGCAACTGGATTTCTATTTTTTCTTTCTTGGAAGTCATTTCTCTTCTCATCCCAGAAGCGTCTTCAGTTCTGCTTGGATGGTGAGGAATGGAAGGATTTATACACCTTGCAGACAGCTGGTCGTTTGCATCAAACCAGCTGAGAGCTGGGTGGGTTTGATTTAAATCAAGTCGATTTGAACCACGATTGAAATCATGATTTAAATCACTAGTAAAAAGGCTACTCCACTGACCCGCTGTGGACAGTCCCAACATTGCAGAATATGTACAGCCTCATGCTACATAACTAAGCTCCGTTTCATGCTGAATGAGCGAAATTATGAATGTATCTTAAAGAGAAAACCATCTGTAGATAGATTTTTTTTACTCCAAAAGCATTTTATTAAAATAAATGTAATTTTTTTAAAAAAATTGATTTAAATGAAAAAAAATCCAATTTTTTATTTTTATAGCAATAGCAGTTATACTTATATACCGCTTCATAGGGCTTTCAGCCCTCTCTAAGCGGTTTACAGAGTCAGCATATTGCCNCTTACGTGAATCTCACTGAAACCCCACGGACTTCGCTTGCCAGAAGGTTGCAAAAGGGGAATCACAGGACCGCGGGACGCTGCAACCGTCATAACTATGAGTCACCGTGAGTTTCCGAGGGCCCAACTGTCTGAATTTTGAGGATGTGACCATGGGACGGTGCGACGGTTGTAAGTGTGAAAAATGCTCATCCGTCAGTGCTGTTGTAACTTTAATGTAAACAAACGTAATGGATGATGCAGCGCAAATAGAGGAGAGGGGGATGGTATGCTGGGCAGTTGTTCCGGGAATTTTGGGTTGAAATTGTCACTTTCCCACTCCCGTACTAGTCCTCGATTTACGACAGTTCACTTAGTGACTGTTTGAAGTTACAACAGCCGTGGAAAAAGTGACTTATAACCCTTTTTCACACTTACAACTGTTGCATGATCAAAATTCGGATGTGTTCATATTTATGACCTTCGCTGGGTCCCTGGGTCACACGATCCCGTTATACGACCTTCTGACGAGCAGAAGACAACGGGGGCGCCAGATTCACTTAACAAACTTGTAACCAACTTAACTGCAGGGGTTCGCTTCACAGCTATGTCAAGAAAGGTCATAAAATGGGTCAAAACTCGCCGAGCTACTGTCTCGCTTAGCAACGGAAACTTGGGGCTCAATTGTGGTCGTACGTCGAGGACCACCTGTACTGACTTAAGGGGTTCACCCAATACACAGATCCACGGTTGTGATGTAGTCCAGTCTTGGCGAACGTTTTCGGCACCATGTGCCAAAACGAGAGTGTGTGCCACAAACTGTGAGAGCCGTTGCCTAGTGCGCGTGTGGGAAGATTGCTCTTATGGTTTCCTAGTGCGCGTGCCGGGCGACTGCTCTTATGGTTTCCGGTGCATGCATGCACACCAGCCACCTGGTCTTCCGGTTTCTGGTGCACATGCGCACACGAAGACCAGCTGATCGGTGCACATGCATTTGCCGGAAACAAGAAGAGCAGCCACTTGCGTGCGCACCGGGCAATGGCTCTTATCGTTTCCGCCGCTCCCGCGTGTGGGAAGACCAGCTAGCCAGCCCACTGGAACCCGGAAGAGCTATGGGCAATGGCTAACGCGTGCCATAGGTTTGCCATCATGGATATAGTCGATTAAAGGGGGATGAACCAGATCCTTCATCTTTGACGGTAGGAGGGGCATGACGTGAGGAGGGCCTTCAGGATGACGGGACGGGATTTGATAAACTCCCAGGGAAGAAGACGAGATCTTCTCTCTTCTGGGACCTCTTTGATTCCTCTCCTTTCTCCCTGCCAGCCTCCCTGCTGAAGCTCTGGTATCGCGAACTTGAGGAGCCTCTGATCCCGCACGAGTTTTACGAGGAGTGCATCACCCACTACGAGAATCCGGAAGCTGCCATCGCTGTCGTCCACTCCCTTCCCAGGATCAACAAAATGGTGCTTTGCTACCTCATCCGTTTCCTCCAGGTAAGGTAGCTCCGGGGTCCAACTGACCGATGGTGGTGTCTATGGAAGATACATCTCGTTCATCCAGGTCACGGTTGCCCCAAAGTTGCTTTTTTCAAGAGGCAACTGGACTTTTCCCCCCCCCCCTTTTTTTTAAAGACGTTTCTCTTATCAAGGTTCCGAATAGCATCCAAAAGAAAATCAGAGTCCGAGGCAAAAGGTTCCTCAAAATTCCAATTTATGAAGAGAGCCATATTGGCACATCTGGAACAACCCGAATCTGAAAGCTTCCCGGTTTCCCCCACCCAGTTGAAAGTTCAAGATCTCCCCCCCCCCCCAAGTCCATCCCACGCTCCAATCTCCCACTTTCATGCTGACAGCTTCCTCCCATCCAGTTCCAGTCAGGTGCAGAGNCCTGAGCCGGTGAGATTTGAACAGCCGAACTGCAGAACTTGCAGTCAGCTGAAGTAGCCTGCAGTGCTGCATTTAACCACTGCGCCACCTCGGCTCTTTTTTAAAAAAAAAAAACAATTACCAATTTTTATCCACCTTGTTTTAGAGGGTCGTTGAGGCCACTTGGAGGATTATCTGTGTCCTCGGGGGTCACCTGAGTGGTGCAAATGGGGGTGGGGTCTTCTTGGGACTGCTGAAAGGACTTTGTGTTGTAGACTGGAGATGGATGGTGCTGTATCCCTCCCCCTTTGTTGAGGGAGGACTGTTCAATTTGGACACAGATGGTCTCTTTGACCCCTTGTTCAAACCAGGTGTCCCTGAGGGCAGAGATAAACCTCCAGGAAGCCTCAATGACCCTCTAAAATGATGCAAATGACCAGCTATCTGCAAGGAGTATCAATCCTTCCATTCCCCACCATTTAGCCAGAACCGAAGAAGCTTCTTGGAAGAGCAGAGAAATCTCTTCAAAAGAAAAAAACAAGAAAGTCTTGGGGAAAAAAGAGGTCCTTTGGGACAACTGGATGACTGAGGACCTCCATAACATCTCCATTCATTGCGTGTTCCTTGATTGGTGACCTACAACTCAGTGATAGATCCAGGAAAGACAAAAACACAGGCAGTCCTCGACTTACGACCACATTGGAGCCCAACACTTCCGTTGCTGAGCGAGACGGTTGCTGAGTGAACTTTGCCCCATTTTACGACTTTTCTCGCCACGGTTGTTAAGCGGATCACTGCAGCCGTCACGTGGTTGTTAAATGAATCTGCCTTCCCCATTGCCTTTGCTTGTTGGAAGGTCGCAAAAGGGGATCGCGTGATCCCCGGCACACTGCAACCGTCATAAACGTGAGTCAGTTGGCGAGCGTCCGAATTCACCAATCACGTGACCCCCTGCGAGGGTTGCAAGTGTGAAAAAGGCTCGCGGGTCACTTTTTCTTCAGTGCCGTTGCAACTTTGAGTGGTCCTTAAACGAACGGTTGTAAGTCGAGGACTACCTGTTGACGGGCTGGAGGTAGAGATGACCCCAAATGGGCTCCAGGGTTAAATATTTGCAAGTTGCAATTTTCCTGCGCCTTGAAGAACTGCTGATTTGGGGGGGAACCTGCAGTCAAAACTCGCAACTTCCCAAAATTACCTTGACGGTGTCTTCTGTGGTGAAGAAGACAAGGAGGCAAGGTTCCTTCTCCTGGGGCCATGATGGAGAAGGCCCTGCCGTGACCTTCTCAAGAACCTTTTCGAGGGCATGAACGTTGGAAACACCCGTTGTCCCCACCCCTTTTCTGTCTTCCATCCCCCATCGTCCTCATCCTTCTCTTTGTTCCTCAGTGACTCAGCACATTAAAGATCTCCTGGAGAGAAACACTAAGAAGAAGTCCAAATTGAGGAAAAAACCCAAACCTTATGTTGAAGACCACGATGGTAGGGCGTGAGAATCAAATCTTCCTCTAGCAGCCTCTTCTCCTTAGCCTAGTCATCAACCACTTCCTTTTTTTTCTCTCTCTGCAGCTTCTTAATCTCTGCTTGGTCTCCCCATAACACGGCTTCATTCTTCTCCTAGCTGCTAATTTGGGGCGTGCCTCTAGATCCTGATTTTTTTGGGGGGGGGGAAACCTACTGCTAATCACGTTTTCTCCAACACCTACTGACTTCTGCCACAGGTTGTCCTCTGCAGATTGTCCTCCCGCCTCACTGGGGAGTCAGGAATGTGGGGGTGGCGAAGGTTGTAAGAGGAAATAGCCGTTTTCCCAACCAGGGAGGGGCGACTGACCTCCTTCCGTTCGTCCGTCATCTGTGTCACGCCAACGTACCCGTGATGTAGGTACACTGGCAACATGGGTGCTACCTGTAGCCCCAATGCGGGATTGACTGCACGATAACGTTACTTATGGGACCCAGGGTTACCGTGGAACCCATATTATGATTGAAAAGTTTGATGCGCCGTGACTCGGCTCATGGCGATCCCCTTGAGCAAGGGTCTCCAAACGTGGCGATTTTAAGACTGGTGGGCTTTCAACTCCCAGAATTCCTCAAAATACTGGCTGGGGAATTCTGGGAGTTGAAAGTCCACAAATCTCGACTTGTGGTCCATATCTGCCCTGTGAAGACAAGAGGACTGGAGGGCTCTTGCAAAAGGCACCTGTGGTAGAGGTGAGGGTGGGGGCAATGTTTGAGTGTCTACCTGCCTGGAGAAAGGTTGGGTGTCCTGTCCAGAAGGCAAACTTCACGGGCTTAAGCCCACCATCCTTCAGGTAAGAAACCGATCTGGCGTAAGAGAGGTCTCGCCTTTCTGCTACGGGTCGGAGTTGGTGCCACAAGGCTCCTCCAGAACTCGCAGTGAGGTCACACCACGCGTGGCATCATCACACTCTCCATCTGAGGAGGTCCACGGAGGAGGGTGGTAGCTTCATAAGGTCTCCCAACTCTAGGCTACGTCAACGAGAGACGTTCCAGCTGAGCATCTCGGACGAGAAGATCTTTTCTCCCTGGGGGTACCTGGGTTCTCTCTGAGCTTGGAAGTTTCCTTGCAGATGTCTTACGACCCAACTAGGTAACGTCCTCAGGGCTAGGAGAGAGTAGGGTTGGGCCGTGGGTGCTCTCTGAACTTGGTTGTTTCCTTGCAAGCATTTCATGACCCAACTAGGGAACATCATCAGTGCTAGCTAGGTCAGTGTTTCTCAACCTTGACAACTTGAAGATGTCCGGACTTCAACTCCCAGAATTCCCCAGCCAGCATTCGCTGGCTGGGGAATTCTGGGAGTTGAACTCCGGACATCTTCAAGTTGCCAAGGTTGAGAAACACTGAGCTAGGTTTTCACACTCTGGACAAAGTCTAGGAGAAGGTCAACCCGTTTGAATGAACGTACGAATTTAATCGATGCACAAATGACA